ATCTAACCATCCAACAACAAGAACCAAATCCGATGCAATCAACGAATTGCAATGGTACATCACATAAAGTATCACCACAACAAACAGTAAGTAATTTTCCCTACTTGACTCCAGTGAACCAAAGAAACAACAACCCATCGCATAACACTACAAACATGCCAATGCAGTGTGATCAACAAAGCAGGTAAACCCTGAGGTTATCATCAACTAGCGAAGACGAGCAAGAAGAAATAACCAATAAAATACAGTGGCAACAAGTGCGAAGCAACAAAAGAAAAAAGGTGACGAGAGGACAAGAGAGAGCAGACATAATTAATGAAGTAGAGATAAACAACAGATTTGATCCCCTACCAATCGAGGAAACCATAAACCAAACACAAGAATCCACGAGTCCAAAACCCAGTAGACCTCCTCCTATCAATGTGTATGGAGTAATGGATTACCCCCAAATGATTACACAAATACGTGAGCAACTTGATGACGAACAATACAACACCAAAAGTTTGGCAAAGCAATACTGTAAAAATAAAATACAATACTCCTGAAAGCTATAGGAAACTAGTTAGATACTTCAAGGAAGAAAACATAGTTTACCACACCTACCAACTAAAATAATACAGGGTTTATCGAATCGTAATAAAACAATTGCATCATACAATAAACACAAACGAAATAGCAGAAGAAATACTTAAGTTAGGGCACAAAGTGAGAAATATCACAAACGCCATACACAGAATAACTAAAGAACCACTAAATCTATTTTTCGTAGATCTGGAACTAGCCAGCAGCAACAAAGAAATATACAAAGTCGAAAGTATTCAAAATGTAAGAATAAAAATAGACCCTCCACGCAAGGGAAAAAACAACGTAGTCCAATGCACGAGATGTCAACAATATGGCCACTGCAGGACCTGCTGTAACAGACCCTACATATGCGTCAAATGTGGCGGACCGCACAGTACAACTAGTTGCAAAAGAGTAAGAACACACCAGCAACAGGCGGAATTTGGCGGAAGTCACATGGAAAACTGCAAAGGATGTGAACATTATCAAAAATTCGTTAATGGGTATAACGCAAACAAGACCAGTGTCAGAAAACCACTAACAACCTATGAAACTCCTAATATTCAACCAATCAACTTCCGTCAACAATACAGCAGTTACGCTAACGTAGTCAGCAACAAAATGAATGACAATGTAACACCACAAGAAACAAACAATGTGCTAACACAATTCTTAAGTGAGTTCAAGTCAATGTTCAGTTAATTTATACAACAGAATAGCATGGTCCTAAACATGCTAACAACACTCCTTAGTAAACTGATTAAATAGTGACCAAGTTCATAAGATTAGCATTATGGAACGCGAATGGAATGAAACAACATCAAGAGGAGACAAAAGTATTCCTGGCTCACAATCAAATAGATGTGCTACTAATAACTGAAACGCATTTCACGGAGAGAACATATCTTCGCATACCCAGCTATAAAATGTACTCTACAAGCCACCCGGATGGCAGAGCCCACGGAGGTAGTGCAATTCTAATCAAACAAACACTTAAACACTACGAAATGCTAAAATATAAAACAGATTTTCTTCAAGCCACATCAGTATCAACTTACCGTATGAATTAACGAGAACAGCGGTGTATTGTCCTCCTAAACACAACATAAAGCAAAAGGATTTCCAAAACTTTTTTCAAACCCTAGGACCAAAGTTTCTTGCTGGCGGCGATTACAACAGCAAAAATACCATATGGGGATCACGGCTAACAACAACAAAGGGCAGAGAATTAGCCAAAACAATAGAAGAAAAACTACTCATTTGTATCGTCAGGAACAGCCACGTACTGGCCAACGGATCCAAACAAAAAACCAGACCTGCTCGACTTTCTTTTCGCTAAAGGAATCAACACAATATACACAGACGTGGTATCAAACTATGACCTGATATCTGATCACTCCCCAGTCATCGTAACTATAGGCTCGACTATTGAACTGAAGAAACCCACACCGAAACTATATAATTTCAGAACAAACTGGGAAGAATATCCAGAAATACTACATCAAGGCATTAATCTAAACATAAGACTTAAAGAACCAGGAGAAATAAAGACGGCCACAACAGCCTTCATAAAACTTCTACAAGAAGCTGCTCAAAAAGCAACACCTCCCATCAAGCCAAGAACATATCTAAATGATGTACCGCTAGCTATCAAGAGACTAGTGGCTGCAAAAAGAAAAGCTCGAGCAGTAGGCAACGCACCCATGCCCCCGCAGATAAAAACAAATACAACCAGCTAAACCTCAGAATGAAGACTAAGCTCAAAAAAATAAAAAACCAGAGCTTTGGAGAATATGTGACTAAACTAACTAGATATGACAATTCTGTTTGGAAACCGATCAGGAACCTCAAGAAAACCAAGAGCAACGCACCACTAATACGGAAAAATAATGCAGAACCATGGGCCAAAAGCGACGAGGAGAAAGCTGACATATTTGCGGAACATTTATCCACCGTGTTCAACCCGCTCACTGAAGAACTCGACCACCATACAGAACATCACCTAACACCTCCCTCAAAAATAGAGAACACCCTCAAAACGACAACCACAAAAGAAACACTAGAAGTAATCAAATCACTTAGCCTAAAGGAAGCTCCAGTCACAGATCTCATAACAGCAAAAATTCTGAAAGAATTGCCAAGAAAAGGTACAGTACTGCTAACATATATCTACAATGCAATACTGCGAATGGGCTACTGGCCGAAACCCTTAAAGATTGCACACATAATAATGATAGGTAAACCCGGAAAGGCCCTAACAGATGTCAAAAATTATTGCCCTATCAGCTTGTTACCAATCATGTCTAAACTATTGGAACAAATTATATACTACGAAGAATCAACGAAGACATACAGCCTAGTCAATGGATCCCAGATCATCAATTTGGTTTCCACCAAGCTCACTCTACCATACAACAGTGCCATAGGATCACACGGGAAATAAGCAAAGCCATAGGAAACAAAGAATACTGCTCTGCAGTTTTTCTTGACATCAGCCAAGCATTCGACAAAGTCTGGCACCAAGGACTACTGCATAAAATTAAAAACCTTCTCCCAATATCATATTAAATATTAAAGTCCTGCCTACAAGAACGAGAATTCTACACTAAAGTAGGAGAAGAAACTTCCAGAAAGTATACAATTACTTCAGGCGTACCACAGGGGAGTGTACTTGGATCAATTCTCTACATACTATACACACCCGACCTACCAACATCGCAAAAACTATAATGGGGACGTTCGCTGACGATACAGCTATTCTTGCAAGTCACCAAGATATATCAACAGCAGCATCCTACATACAAGAGCACCTCAATCAACCTCAACAACGGATGCACAAAGGGATGCTTAAAGTAAATGAGGCTAAATCAACTCGTGTAATATTTCGATTGAAGCATGGGGACAGTCCAACAGTGCGAATCAACAATACCGTAATAACACAAAAGAGCACAGCTAAGTTCCTAGGGTTACGCCTGGATAATAAACTAAACTGGAGAGAGCATATCCAAAAAAAGAAAAACCAGATAGTAATGAAAAACAAAGAATTAAACTGGCTAATCAGCAGGAAGTCAAAACTGACAATGGAAAACAAGATCCTAATTTACAAAACTATCATCAAACCAATATGGACGTACGGCATTGAACTATGGGGATGTGCCAGTAAATCCAACACAGCCATCATACAGAGACAGCAGTCAAAAATACTCCGACAAATAGTGAACGCCCCATGGTACATAACCAATTACACACTTCACAATGACCTCCGCATCCCTACAATCCAAGAAGTCATCAAAACAAAAACTGCCAGGCACATACAAACCATAGAAGATCACCCAAATCCACTACTCAGCCAACCAGTACTACAACCAGTCAACAGGAGACTTAAGAGACAGTGACCAACAGATAATAATTGAAAACTCTGAGGTAACATCGCTGGACGTTAACCTCAACACACCTCAGCTGTAGCTAGGATACCTAGCACGGATCAACACATTAGCTTATAGAATGCACTGTATTCTGATTGCTGATCATGTATTATTAAAATAAAAAAAAATCCAAGTCATGGTGAGTTAGATGGGTGGGCATATAGCCCTCGGGCCAGAGAAGATAAATTTATACAAACTTTTAGGGTAGCTATAATTTGAGAGACCTAGGCGTAGATGGTACGATATTATAAAGTGACTTCTTGAGATACAGGTTATGGTGACATGGCCTGGATTCTTATGGTTCAAGATAGAAACCTGTAGTTGGATTTTTTATAAACTTTATAATTAATTTTCCTTTTCCATAAATGGCTGGGAATTTCTTTTTTAAATTTTGAGTAAATATCAGCTTGTAGGACACCGCTAGGACATATGGTGGACCTTCGAAACACGAAAGGATCCGATAGTTTCGTCTCTGAGCTTGTCATTAGAGAGAGTATACAAGTGATTGGTAAAATCGCGAGCAATCAGCCAAATTAATTGTTTAAAAAGTTACCGACTTTTCAGGAGCCATCTCTGTTTCCGTCATCAGGGCCTGACTTTTTTATATAACTGTCAAGTCTGATAATCCGAGAAAATTTCGTCAAATTTACCGTTATGAAAGCTTAAAATGTTTTTTTAGTTTTTTTTTTTAGTTTCTTAAGGTGAGGTGAGGCTGAGTCCACTTTGTACGTCGGCCACTAATTGACCTATTGTACCAGCCCCAGACGAAAGATGATGATGATGAATGTGGAGCAGTCGGTGGAATGAGAACTGACATGGTAAACCGAAGTTCTCCGAGAAAACCTGCCCCACCACAAATCCCACATGATCTGACCTGTGCTCGAACCCGGGCCCTCGCAGTGGGAAGCCGGCGACTAACCGCCTGGGCTACGGCACCGCCCTATCACAAGTGACTGTTTCCTTTTTACCGGTAGTCCTATCTCTGACCTGTGGGCTCTGTTGTGCTTGCAGCTGCGGAAGCCCGTGTCCACGCTGTCCATCCCGGCTGCTATGAAGGGCCTGCAGTCGGGGAAAGACGTGGCCGGGCCTGGGGTCACGGAAGAGGCAGGAATAGCTCTGGTCGGAGTACACTCGGAGTACCCCCGCTACACGGAAGAGCGAGGGCAGGGCGGCGGGCTGTGCAAGAACGCGTCCATCGAGAGCGCGGGAGGTGGCACAGGTGCGGCGGGCGGCAAACACAAGCCCAACGTGGGCTACAGGCTAGGCAGACGGAAGGCGCTCTTCGAGAAGAGGAAACGCATCAGCGACTACGCTCTCGTCATGGGCATGTTCGGGATCATTGTGATGGTCATCGAGAACGAGTTGTCCAGTGCCGGAGTCTACACCAAGGTAGGCACCACACATTACCACTTGTACACCAAGACGGTCTTTGTACATATGACAGGTGTTACTGACATTCTGTGTACGCAATTACTTTCGGAGCCTGACCCCATTTAACTGATATTAAGTGTCGTAATATTCATAAGTCGTTATCGCCATTATATCCAAACCAGTGGTTCCCAAAGTGGGCTCTACCGCACCCTGTTAGCGGTGGGATTACCAAGGGGCGGCAGGAGCGCGCTGGTGGTGGGGCCCTTTCGAGGAGTTTGTTAGCTCATTTACGTTTGAAGTGACTTATAGACCAGACATTAAGAAACTGGTATCACTTCATCAAGTCCACCCATCGCATTAAGAATTTAATAGCAGTGAAGTAGTTACTAAATGTGGTACCTTATTTTCTTGTTATTGTTTTCCTTACTGGTTTATGCAAACCGATACTCTGAATAATACTTTCTGTAGGGTAGAGAAAGGTGAATCGGGGGTGAGTTTATGGAATCAAGGGGACAATGGCCAGAAAAAATGTCGAAACCCTAGACCATTCTTTGAATTTTGCCATTAGGATTACCCGAAAAAAGACTTGGACGTCAACTCTCAATTGACCCAATTTTCATCTTACAAAATTTTATTACCATGATTTATTTAAACCGTCTTGCAGTGCATACACTCATCTATCNGGAAAACTTTCTGATGTCACATCCACCTCAGAAATTCGCACGCTACTTTCGTATTATTGACTTAGTAAATTAGAAAATACGAAGGCAGGGCGAGTTCTGATGACACAATATTCATGCCACATTTAATAAAATTCCTTGATTACTTCTGAAGTTAAGGAGGACCCACGCGGATGGACATGATGAACTCAAATAAGCAAATGTTTTCGTACAATGTACTTGGAATGCACTGAAGCATGTGTTTATTTACTTGTGAAATATAAGGTATAATATTGATGTTAGGAAGGGTTCTTTCGCTGTGAAACTCGTTTAAAAAAGGGAATCAAACTCATTGCTTCTGGAGACTAAGTTTTTATTCCGTTTCGACGCGAACGATCTGCAGTGAAGACTTTACCTTTGTCTCCTAGAGAACTTGGTCTTTTACATAAGATATGGGATTTTAACGGCGGTGACTTTGAAGAATGCCACCTTCTGGGATGTGGCGCCGAGTAGATCTTTTGTTAACCGACGTTTCGGAGGAACGTATAGCCTCCAACTTTAGGAGGGAGAAGATTGGCTCGATATATTTCCCCGAAACGTTGGTTCACACAAGTTCCACACGGCCCCACATTCAAGAAGACTTCATTCTTCGATTTTTATAGTCTATGCTCGTACAGGCAATGTTTGGGTTAGACACCATAGTCCATTTTTGCATTAAAAGAGGGAATTTGAAAGTCATAGTCTGTATGCAAGATAGAAAAGAATAGAAAATCACACCTATCACCTATAGCTCCACCATTCTTGAACCTTTATCCAAATTGTCCAGACCTGCCCTTGGATCTACCCAACCTCCTGTCCAATGGGTACCGGGGATCTTTCCCTTGCTGCAAACAGGCCGGGGCGTGAAGTTGCCCACTCACCTCCAACTAGTGCTTAGGTCAAGAAAGTGTGGATCTATATATCCACTCCCCCATACGTCTTCTTGGGGTAGTTCCTAAATTCGTTGAGCATAGAGAAAATTTTACCTTTACATTTTACCTAATGGGCAGGAGGCTGGGTGAAACCCAGACACGGGCTGGGCGCTTTGTCTCCTGGAAATCAAGACAAGATCGTCCATCATGTCTCTATACCAACTGAGCTATCCCGGCTCCCTTGAAGAAACGTACAATACAAAAATTAGGGGATTGTTTGTGACAATTAAAATAAGAAGATGGGCCTCTCTATTGTAATGAGATTAATATAATTGAAACATAATTTCCTTATTTTTATATTAGAGATGCCACAGTCCAATTTTATAAGTTGTGAAGTAAGGTGGAGCGTGTAAGAAGATGGAGTCCTTACCGTTCCGGATTTAGGGAACAATGACAAAGGCAGTCGAACATTTTGAGAGTCTTTGACAGTGGATTTGAAGAGAAGGGCGACTCTTGGATATGGAGAGGCTGCATTGTTCAGGGGTTGACGTCTCCTCTATTTTGGAACATTGTTACGTCAGACTTGAGTGTCACTTGCGTACCCTTCAGAAAGGCGCGGCGAGGCTCGAGTACTACCATTGTTCGAGTGCCTTCTGTCCTGTTCAGGGACCTGACAAGAATATCTAACTCCACTAACAAGTCCATCCACTGGTCTTCATGCCTTAATTAATCAAATCAGGTGTTACACGAAACACCACGAAAGTCATGTCTTCGGAACAGACATGTGTTATGAAAGTTGCCTGCACGCCTATAAGTGAAGGTCACTGTCGTCTGGTGTGTGTCATCATGTATTATGGTTGATGTTGACTGATGTTTCAGTGTAACATGCTGCCTCCATCTTCATGGTAGATTGATAAGATATTAGAATACACAGTGTTATACTCTAGATGATAGTAGGCTTCATAAACAGCACCATAAGGACCTCAAACCTCAAACCTCAATTGGTAAACTTCTACCAGACTATACACGGTGTAACATTCCAGAAGCTTTACTATTCATTGACACGGTCATACAAACGTCAAATCTTGATTGGTAAGCTACCACAAAATTATAGAATGTCATATCTCAGAGGCACAAATCTTCATAATCATCACCCTATAACCTTAATTCTTGGTTAGTAATTCTGTATTTCAGCATCCTGTTGCAATTGTTTAACTTAACATCCATTTTTATCGACCTTCAGTATTGCAACACTTGTTTATTCCCTACTTAATTTTAATTTCAGTTTAACATTATAAACTTTGACACTACATGTTTCGGCCCCAAACGGCCATATTCAGGTGTCTTGATATGTTATAAATATTCTATTAACTTATGTTAAAACTGCTACACTGTGTTAGTCCGTGTTAAAATCACACGATTTTCTTCTCTTTTCAAGATGAAACAAGATAAAATCCATTAAAATTTCTATTATATCCACTTAATTTGGTGCATTTTATTTCACCTCACACGGGGTGTCGTCCATTGTTCATAAATGAATGTCTGTCCAGGTGTTTTGTTCCGGCAGCTTGCACCAAAATAGATCCTAGTGATATGAAGGGAGTGAGACGGAATGGCTTTATCTGGCTCAGGATAGGGACCAGTAGCGGGCTCTTGTGAAAACGGTAATGAATATTCGGGTTCCGTAAAATGTTGGGAAGTTCTTGGGTAGCTGCTCAATTGGAGACTTCTCAAGGAGGGCTCAGCTCCATGAAGTTAGTTAGAAGGCGCAGAATTTTCCACATCATAAAAAATGTCCGAAAAAAATTATAAGCATTTTAATATATTTTATATTCAACTCCATTTTTCGTAATAGAGATTTGATATGGGAAAACCAGAAGGAAAGAGACCACTGGGAAGACCAAGGCGTAGGTGGGTGGACAGTATTAAAATGGACCTTAGAGAGACAGGACGGGATGGTATTGATTGGACTGATCTGGTTCAGGATAGGTACCAGTGGAGGGCTCTTGTGAACACGGTAATGAACCTTCGGGTTCCATAAAATGCTGGGAAATTCTTGAGTAGCTGCAGAATTGGCAGCTCATCTCCATGAATATGTAAGCACGTAAGTAAGTATTATTTATTATTATTATTATTATTATTATTATTATTATTATTATTATTATTATTATTGAGGAGCCGAGGTAGCTCTGGGGTTCACCACACCTCTAACTAGTGCCGAGGTCAGGAAAGTGTGGATCCATACATCCAATCCANNNTTTTACGGACCGTAAACCACCGACACGGGACTCACGGTTTAAAGTCCCTCCCGGACTTATTCCCTGTATTTTCCGCCCTTAAAAATTCCACGGGTTTGAACCCGCGTACCTTGAGTCATGAGGTGGGAACGTTACCCCTAGACTACGGAGGCCGCACGTAAGTAAGTAATGTAACGAGATGGAACACGTAAATTTGACAGAAAGTTACGGTCGCGTTGGCCTTTCTCCCTTCATATTCTGTACCCCCGAGGTTCATACCGGGTTCAGGGGTCGGCTATCCTACCTGAGGATATCCGTGATTTCCCTCCCCCCCCCCCACGCAAAGTCCGGGTTAGTACCTCGAAATAGGCCATGAGGGTAACGCTCCATGTCCTTCCGAATTCACGGAGTGCAACATCTAATCACTCGGAGCTTCATTATCTGAGGAAGTGCAAGCGTGATTAAGCAAACCGAAGTATGTAATGCTCCTGTCTCTTGTCCTTATATAGGCTTTTAGAAGCTCAAGGCTTTTTTTCTATCGTTACATAAGTTGGCAAATGGTCACGAACAGAAGAAAGATAGTGGCAATGGAAAAATCGGTATTACAGAACACAAATTTGCCGAAAAATCCCTAAGAAAGCAGCACAACTGTAGTGCTTTTTGGTTTTCTTTAACGTTCAGTGTCTTCGCCTAAATTTAGCTGTTTTCAAAAACTTCTAATTTTATTTACATTACATATGTTTAACTGAGATTATTTTCAACTTCCTTTCTATATATGTTTCGTAAGGGTTTTTCCTCAAAGCTATCTCTGTAACAGGCCGTGGGGACCATAGAGTTGTGAGACGTCGAGGCTCTCACATTTACTCTAGACAATAAGCTCACAGACGGCGGTAAGTTTGTCAGCCTTACGCGCCGGCCGACCTTTACCCACCAGGAATATTCCTGGTACTCATTTCTGTTAGAGGCTGAGTCGACCCCAGAACCATAATGTTGCTAGAAGGATTAGGTAAATTTAAGAAAATCCACCTCATGGGGACTTGAACCCGCGACCTTCCGGTTTGTAACATAGTGCCTCAACCAACTACGCTACAGGCCGTGCCATAGCTCAAGCGGTTAGTCGCTGGCTTCCCACTGCGGCGGCCCGGGTTCGATCCAGGGTCTGGTCAATTGGGATTTGTGGTTGACAAAGTTTGGGGCGGGTTTTCTCCAAG